ATAATTTATTAAATAATTGTAGTGTGAAATAAAAATCTATTAACATTTTATTTTATATATTTTATGGTTTTTACTCATCGCAGTATTATCTAGCTTTTTAGTGATTTTTCTTTAGTTTATACCTACCTATTACGGAAAAAAAATCGTTCGTAAAAATATAATTTAAAAATTAAAGCCAATATACGATTATAATAAGGGTGCCTATGTGAACATATTGAATACTTTTCAAGCTTCATTGCACACTCACCGATGATATAATACTATAATTAATAAACTTGTTTTTATTAGATGACTGGTTGATATTGATATATGTAGAAATACATATTTGGTTCATGTCTGTATATTTATAATTGTGCGTCTTATAATAAATATAAGTCCCAAGCCTTTTGATCATATATATGTTATAACTATATTTGAGTTAATACAAAAATATTAAATATGATTTACAATTATAATATCAATTTATGATACATGTAATGGCTTTAAATTATCCTCCTCAAAATTGTTTTAGAATAGTATAGCAATAATATACGAATGTTTACAATGTACCTACATTATTATATTATTTTATACCTATATAATATAGAAAATAATATAATAAAATGACATTATTTTTTTCATTTATTTATGATATTAAGGGCTTAAGAAACTTATTTTTAAACACTTATATACATAAATATTATACGTATACCTAAAATAAATTTTATTCTAAGTACCTTCTATATAGATTTAAGAATAATATCGAAAACATAATACTAATCTTCTATTTCATTACCTATCTATTAGACCAATAAACATGCTTAAAGTTTCAATAACTTTATTACTACAAATTTTTTTTTTTATATATCATAAAAAAATCAAAACTGTTTTACGATCTATGAGAATTCAATAAAAATTATTAGCTCTAAAACACGTTATTTATAAATGAAAGCGTAATAATATAATATTCGCTAGATGTACATAAAACAATTCAATATAAAAACGATTCATGATCGGCAGAAAAAAGAAGTCTCATTACGAAGCCGCCATTTTGGAATGATGATACGCAACTTGGCACTGAGCTCAAGAAACAAAATAAAATC